GGGCTGTGGGCAGGGACTCTCTGCAGCCCGACCACGGGTTCACGGGGCTGTGGACAGGGACTCTGCAGCCCGACCACGGGTTCACGGGGCTGTGGACAGGGACTCTCTGCAGCCTGACCACGGGTTCACGGGGCTGTGGACAGGGACTCTCTGCAGCCTGACTACGGGTTCACGGGGCTGTGGGCAGGGATACCCTTCACATGTGACTCCACTCCTCAGGGCTCACGGGGCTGTGGACAGGGACTCTCTGCTGACACGATGCCACAGACAATTCATGACCATGATCTCCCCGGGGCTGCTTCCCGCAGGCCAAAGAGATAAAAGTCCTTGTCTAACAACAAAAACTCCACACATGCAAATGAAAACTAAAAAANAAAAAAAAAAAAAAAAAAGAGCTGAAGCTGGCCCAGAGCTAGGTCTTGGCAGAGGCTGCAGGCTCTGGAGACTGAAGAAACTCATACGGGTCGTGGGTTACGTCTGGCTGCTCCCCGACACTCAGGTGAGAAGGGCTTCCTGCAATTTCAGAACACAGGATTTCAGCACACAGGACAGACCCACAGCACACATGAGCCCAGTGACTGCCTCATGACCTCTGCCAGGACACAGGGCACCTTGCTCACCCCCTGGGAGGGCTGTGCGTGGAGAGCTGGAGCAAGGGGCCGGCCCTCGCCCTGCACACAGCACCGAGGCTGCTCCTGACGGAGAGAAAGCCCCTCGGCCAGGGGTCCCTCAGACACAGCCCAGACTCCAGGGCAGCTCCCTGAAGGCATACTGGATATCAGGGCCCTCTAACTTTGACCCACGGCCTCCAGGGTCTGCTCTGTGCACTGTTAACGCCCTGATCATGAGGTTCATTGGACTGAAAATACTGGTCCTTTTCCAGACAGTTGGAGCTAAACCTCTGTAGCTGAAAAACTGTAAAGATTCACTCTGCTGAAAGAGTGATTCAGTGCTTATACATGAGAACAAAAAACCCCAAAAAACCGCTCGAGAACACATGGCCAAGGAAGCCACTCTCCCCCTGCAGCGGGAACACTGGAACCACGGTCCACAGACGCCACAGGGGTCAACAGAGCCGAGGACGGAATCTGGCAGAAAGCCTGTCATCCAGCAGACAGCCAAGCCAGCAACCCAGCTCCTGCTCTGCACCTTGAGGCTGGGACCGGACACGGCCTGCCCGTCACAGAACTAACCGAACTCTGCGACAGCCCAGCGGCCTCCGCAGCCTCCAGTCTTTCTGCAACTCAAAGGCTGCCCACTGCCTTGTCTACGCGCCACACAGACTGTGCTGGGGTCTCTGGGGACCCGGCGTGGGTGGGGGCGTCTTACCCAGGTGGTGCTGGTCCCTCTCGGAGGCGTTGGACAGGGAGCTGAGGTTGGATGAGGGCCGAGAGCCACCACGCTCTGCCTGGGCTTCCTGTAGGTCCTGAAGGAGCTTGGTCGTCTCATCCAAGTTCAAGTGGCTGTCGTCGGGGTCCAGCTCTTTCTTCACCTTCCCTGCGTCAACACAGAAAGGACCACGTCGGCTGAGCTCAGGAGCGCACTGGCTGTCCCGATCTGACCTCTCCACTCAGAACAGCGACTGCTCTGGAAGCAGAGTGGGACGAGCTCATGGCAGACCAGTGGACAAGCCTAGAGGACAGACATGACCCTCGTCAGTGAGCAGACACCCAGGGTCCTCTGCTAAGCAACGCATCAGGCAAGACCCAGCACCGCACAGACCCAGTCATGCCACACAGACTCTGGTGGGGGCTCCGGCCACAACCCAGGATGAGCCTGTCCTCAACACAGGGAGGCCAGACAGCTGGATGGAGGGTGCAAGAGGCCTGCAGACCCTGGCACCCACCCAGCTCATCGTAGAGCAGGCTCCAGGCCACAGTCACAGTGGACCCAGCACGTCCAGCTGAGAGGCAGAAAGGACGGGCTCCCTAGAGAGCTCCCGGCCCACTCCTGGACCGTGTGCCAGACATGCCAAGAGCCTGCACACAGGTCTGTGGTGACCCAAGCCCCACCAGCCAGGCCATCCAGTCGAGCCTGGAACAGGTGCAGCCTGACAGAGGCCCGGCTTTACCCTCCGCCAGGGAGGCTCTGGGCTTATCCTGACAATGCCTGCGGAAGGTCCCACAGAGTCTGAGTCACTTCTCGGACTCAGAACAAAGGCCACCAGGTCTCAAAGGTGTGTAAGCAAACCCACCGCCCCACTGCATCAACACACAAAGGGGCAGGAAGACACAGCCCCAAACCAGGAGAGAATCAAAGCTGAGATGAGGGAATCAGAAGACACGGTGAGTCTTCTCACGTGTTCCGAGGCGGAGGACACCGGCTGTGAGGCAGGAAGGGAAGACGACACGGGAAGCCAGCGGAGTTTCCAGACATGAATAGAAACGAGCATCTACAGCAAAGGCCCCATGGAGCGGGCCGGCCACAGATCACCCACCAGAGGGCATGGCGACAGACACATCACCAGGACGCGGGCAGGGGCCACACACAGAACCAGAGTCCAAGAGAACAGGTGCGCTGGTGATGCGGAAGAAACCGTAGCCGGAATGTCTGCCTTTGGTCCAGGATACAACCCCGCTGGCCCACCCAGAGGGCAGGAGCGCAGGCTGTGGTCACAGGAGGAGCGGAACCCCCATCCGCGTTGAGCCTCTCACTCAGGACAGCATTTGGCTTAGAAAGGCTGAACAAAACCCAAGGATAACAAACCTAAAGAAAAGCAATCGATGCAATATGGTCTGGCTCAGGGTCCCCACCCAAATCTCAGGTCTAATTTCTCAATGTTGGGGGAGGAGCCTGGTGAGAGGCTGAATTTCCTCCTTGCTGTTTTCATGGGATCTGGTGTTTACAAGTATGTGGCAGCACCCCTCCCCCTGCATCCTGCTTCCCCTTCGCCTTCCACCATGACTGCAAGTTTCCTGAGGCTTCCCCAGCCATGCCTCCTGTATAGCCAGTGGAACTGCTTTTCAGGAGAAAAATCAATTATACTGCTTTTCTTCATAAATTATCCAGTCTCAGGTAGTTCTTTATAGCAGTGCAAGAACAGACTAACACAAAAAATTTGTGCTGAAATGTGGGCATTGCTATGAAGATACCTGAAAACGCTGAAGCAGTTTTGGAACCAGGTAACAGGCAGAGCTTGGAACAGTCTGGAGAGCTTAAAGACAGGAAGATGACGGAAAGCTTGGAACATCCTAGAGACTTGCTGAATGGCTGTGATTCTAATGCTGACAGTGATATGGACAGTGAGGTCCAGGCTGAGGTGGTCTCGGAGATGAGGAACTCATTGGGAACTGAAGCAAAGGTCACTCTTGCTACACTTTAGCAGAGACTGGCAGCACTGTGCCCATGCTCTAGAGATCTGTAGAACTTTGAACTTGAGAGAGATGAATTTAGGGCAACCGGTAGAAGAAATTTCTAAGCACCAAAATGTTCAAGAGGTGGCCCGGCTGCTTCTAAAAGTCTATGCTCGCTTGCATAAACAAAACAATGACCTGAAACTGGAACTTACATTTAAAAGGGAAGCAGAGTGCAAAAGTCTGGAAAATTTGCAGCCATGTGGTAGAAGAGAAAAACCCATTTTCTGGGAAGGAATTAAAGAAGGCTGCAGACATTTGTTAAGTAAAGAGGGCACCAAATGTTAGTAGCCAAGACAATGGAGAAAATACCTCAGGGGCATTTCAAAGACCTTGCACAGCCCCTCCCATCACAGGCTTGCAGGTCTAGGAGGGAAAAATGGTTTTGTGTGCCAGGCCCAGGGACCGGCTGCTCTGTGCAGCCTTCGGACATGGTGCCCTGCGTCCCAGCATGGCTAAAAGGGACCAAGGTACAGCTTGGGCCAATGCTTCAGAGGGTACAAGCCCTAAGCCTTGGCAGCTTCCACAAGGTGACAGAAAGCAAGAGGTGAGGTTTGGGAGCCTCTGCTTAGATTTCAGAGGATCTATATAAAAGCCAGGGTGTCCAGGCAGAAGTCTGCTACAGGAGTGGGGCCCTCATGGAGAACCTCTGCTAGGGCAGTGCAGAGGGGAAATGTGGGGTTGCAGCCCACACACAGAGTCCCCACTGGGACACTACCTAGTGGAGCTGTGAGAAAAGGGCCACCATCCTCCAGAACCCAGAATGGTAGGTCTGACAGCTTAGACCAAACATCTGGAAAAGCTGCAGGCACTCAACACCAGCCCAGGAAAGCAGCCACAGGGGCTGTACCCTGCAGAGCCACAAGGGTGGAGAGCCCATCCCTTGAATCAATGTGGCCTGGATATGAGACAAGGAATCAAACAGATTATTTTGGAGCTTTAAGATGTAATGAGTACCCTGCTGGGCTTCGGATTTGCACAGGGCCTGCCAGCCCCTTTGTTTTGGCTGATTTCTCCCTCTTGGGATGGGTCTACTTACCCAATGCCTGTACCAATTTGTATCTTGGAATTAACTAACTCGTTTCAATTTTACAGGTTCACAGGGAGAAGGAACTTACCTTGTCTCAGATAAGTCTTTGGACTGTGGACTTGAGTTAATGTTGGAATGAGTTAAGACTTTGGTGGACTGTTGGGAAGGCATGTGTTTTGAAACGTGAGAAAGACAAGAGATTTGGAAGGGGCGGGGCAGAATGATATGATTTGGCCCTGTATTCCCACCCAAATCCCCTGTTGAATTGTAATTCCTGATGTTGCGAGAGGCTCCCAGTGGAAGGTGACAGGATCGTGGGCTGGCTTTCCCCGTTGCTGTTCTCTGTTCTTGTGACAGTGAGTGACTTCTCGTGAGATCTGGTTGCTTAAAAGCACTTCACCCTCTGTGCTGTCTCCTGCTCCGCCATGTGAAGACATGCATGCTTTTCCTTCGTCTTCTGCCATGATTGTAAGTTTCCTGAGGCCTCCCAGCCATGCCTCCTGTACAGCCTGAGGAACTGTGAGTCAATTAAACCTCTTTTCTTCACCAATTACCAATGTCAGATGGTGCTTTGTAACAGAGTGAGGACAGACTAATACACCACAGCACATCAGCACCAAGCTGCTGAAAAGTAATAATAAGGACAAGATCTCAGAAGCACTAAGAAAAACAGCTGCTGTGCAGAAAAGTGCTGTCACAGTAGCCTGGGGCCAGGGTCCCGTGGAAGGCAAGGCCAGCCAAGGCTGGCAGCCGGGGTGCCACCCAGTGCTAGGGAGTATTCACAGCTCCAGCTACAGGAACAGGGTGGTTTATGCTAAAGCTCACTTTCCCTCTGGGGTCTGGATTTTGGTACCTGCCTGGCAAGGGGGTATCCTATGTGATCAGACCCCAGTAATCCTGGGCATGAACCCTCTGATGAGCTCCCCTGGTGGGCATTTCACACGTGTTGTCACATCTCACTCCTGAGAATTAAACATATCCTATGTCCCTATGCTGGGAGGGGTCTGGGTCTCACGCTGGATTCCCTGGGTGTCATCTGTACTCTTGTCCCCATGCTGCTGTTGGTGCCCTTCCCCTACAATAAATCATGGCCCTAAGTGCCAGAATAGAGCCAGCAGAGGCAGATGCAATGTCACCACGGGAACTAGGGGGATGCGTGGTTCCAGGTACCACAGACGCTGTTGGTGGTCTGAACAGCTGGGAGGCTCTGCACAGGCTGCCGTGTAGCTCCCAGGGGAGGGCTCCGTCTCCAGGAATGTGCCCCCCCCCGACACCGCCCGATGCCAGGCTGGGGTCTGTGCTTCCGACTGACCAGCTATAAAATGGAGTTCTCACAATACCTTACTTGAGTTCTATGAACTTGCTAGTGTGACTCACAGAAGTCAGGGCAACATCCGTAAGATTAAAATTCTAAGCCCCACAGATCGAACGGATTCCTACTCTTGGCCAAGGGCACTCCAAATTCAGTCTGGAAAGCGGGTTCAGGCCATGACGTGAAGCGGGACTGGGCTTGCCTCTTTATCCCTCCATTTTGGAACCCAGGCACAGCTGACCAGCAGTAACATTAAACAGGGATCTCAATACTGACAAAGCAGACTCTGTGGTAACAAGACACCACATTCCAACCCAACTCTAGTACAGCATCACGCGACAGACGCAGCCCTGAAAGAAACTCGAGTGTTTTACCTCAAAGTGTATTTCTCTGACATATTTTGAAATGGCTGCAAAGCTGTCTCTTGTGCGGAAAATGTACATTCAGGAAATCTCCTTCCCCTTCCAAGTCTCTTCCTGACCCAGGAGAGATTTAACCAAGAATCTGGTACCTTTCAGGGGCTGATGAGCGACACTTACCATCTGCTCCATTCTTTTCGAAGCCTGCAACCTGAAGGCTTCATCGATGTGACAGGAGCCTTGGCTTCCACAGCCCCTTATCTTAACCGCACACACTCCTCTACGACTTCAGCTCTCAGGGCTCAACCTTTCAACCAAATGCCAATCAGGAAATCTTTCAATCCACCAGTGACCTGAAGTTCCTCGCTTCAAGCTGTCCTACCTTTCCACAATGAGCCACCGTAACACCTGACACGTACTGATGGATGCCCTGTCTCCCTGAAACAGGAAATCAAACCCAGCCCTCTGGGCGAGTGATCTTGGGACCTCCTGGACTGTCACAGCCAGTCTTCATATTTGACTCAGAATGACCCTCTCTAAATACTCTGCACAGTCTGACTCTTTTCTCAGCACGCTCGCCTCACATTACCCGTTTACTGTGCGGAGCGTAGCCTAGGGCACAGGTGAGCCCCAGGTGGGGGCAAAGCGGAGGGAACCGTGGGAATCGGATGCCTTCTTCCCGGAGCCTCGAGGCATCTGGCACTGAGGCAGCTCGCAAGGGAACCCCACCTTTTGGGATTTCACGGAGGCAGAAGGCAACACTCATGAAGTCTACAGCTACCGGGGATCAGCCAGACCCCATCAGCTTAAAAGACTTCTCATCAGCTTAAAAGAGATGCCTAACTCAGGAGATTCCAGGGGTTTAGGAGCTATGGACCAAAAATCAGGGACAAAGACCAAATACTAACAGAAGAGTTTCCTTGCATGCCTGTCTAGTCCGGAAGGGAGAGGAGGTGGAGACCAAGTGTTTTATTCTGGGCCCATCTCTGGGCCCTGCGGGAAAGCGCTATCACCTGGTACCACTCACCCAGAGAGCTGAGCACGGAGATGTCCAGAGACACGTCAGGATACGACTTCATCGACATGAAATCCAGAACAGAGCCACCACTGTCTCCGAGGGCGTCCCCAACCTGTGGCAGACAGACATGTATCAAGCCCGAATGAAACTTCAAACAAAAAATGAAATGCTACTTAATCCTCACTTTGAAATCACTCTACTTATTTGCTAAATATGGGTCCACCCCTCAGTAAGTGACAAGACCTAGCCCTGTTCACTGAGGCTGCGCTTCAAGGAGCTATCAGGTTTGAGCTCATGAATTGATGTGCAAATCTCTGTCAAAGCAAATCTTACTCAGGCCAACAATGCAAACGATGATCCTCTGCTAAATGAAAACTCCACTCACACCAACAATGCAAACGATGATCCTCTGCTAACCAAAAACTCCACTCAGACAATGCAAACGATGATCCTCTGCTGACCGAAAACTCCACTCACACCAACGATGCAAATGATGATCCTCTGCTAACCGAAAACTCCACGCAGACCAGCAATGTAAACAATCACCCTCTACTAACTGAAAACTCCACTCACACCAACAATGCAAACAATAATCCTCTGCTAATGTCTTGGGGTTAAAGAAATTGGGGAGGGACATTATGAAGCAAGAAGATATATGAAATTTAAGGGTCTACAGCTATTTTTCAGGGACCTCACAGAGCACACCACTTTCCCTTTCCTTTCCCAGGAGGGGTGTCCTGAAGGCCTGACTACAGCACCCTAAGGCGCACTCTCATCAGCTCCCTGCAGCCCGGCCTCTGCCCTCACACAGATGTTAAGGGATCTCTCCAAGTTCCCAGGGATGGTAGACCAAAGCCCATCCTCCTCATCCTGCCGATGGATGGAGACACACGCTTGCCAATGGGCAGGTGCAGCGGTCTGAGCTCACAGCACTGCCCTGCCAACACCGACCCCACAGCCCACTGTGCTGGGGACAGCACCTGCTACTCACCAAGCAGGTCCCACGCAGGCCCCTCCTGCCCACCCCCTGCTAGGATGTCCCGCAAGGACAGCACCTGGGGCCAATTGCTCTTAAACTACCACTTCTGGATTTGGAAGAAGGTCCTGTGGCTTCACACCACTCACCCCAAGTCATGAAAAGGCAGTGCAGGGGAACACTACTAGTTAATCTCATCGGCCAGAAACAGACCCCGTTTCCCAACCGCAATACACAGTCTCTTCCACCTCAAAGGCCGGACACGACCTTCCCAACAAGAATCCTAACGTTAGGCTGGCACTTCCATGTTCAAAACTCACCTTGGCTTCATCTGGAGGTTTCATGGGAACATTTCTTCTCTGCAAAGTAAATTAGGACAGAAACTAGTTTTTCCAGAGCGATTTTATATAAAAGGAAAATTCACTGACATTACACACACATAAAAATGGCTTGTACGCTTCTGTGAATTCTGCTCCTCAGTCACACCATCTTAATGGATTCAGGCTAGGGGTCCTGCAAGCCTTCTTCATCACCAGCAGCCAGCCCACTCCTCACACCAGGACTGTGTGAGCCAGCCCAGTCCTCACACCAGCAGTGTGTGCCGGGAGAACGCTCCACGGGGTGAGACGGAGAGGACAGAGAGAGGACGCTGATGCAGCTTCGGCAGCCTTGGGTGGTTTAAAACAAAAGAAAACCGATGTGCTTAGGTCCTACGGGCAGCTGAGGATACAAAGGGCCCAGTGGGTTCCCCCTGGAATATGACCAGGTGCCTGAGACCAGCTGGAGTCCTGCAGGGCAGGTGTGCGCAGGAGCACAGAGGCAGACGCCTCCTGGTAATTCGCTCCCTGCCACGGCCGTCAGCCTCCAGGGCACCCCCGTCCTGTGCTCCAGTGGGGCCCTGCCTTAGAAATGCCGAGTATGTGCCTCAAAAGCACTCTTATCATCTGTGATCTTTGCTCAAAATAATGTTTCTCAGATTCACTGATTTTCACAAGTTTTGAATTAGAAAATGAACACTGCCATTACGTTCGCGTGTTTCCACATACAAGCCTTCTGTCCACATTAGAGCTGCAGGGGTGCGCCTGCGGTCGCTCAACTCTGTATCCAAGTTCACTCTCCTGGAAGGAACTCAACCAGAACCCGGAGTGGAAACCCACGGAGCAATCCCATTTCCAGGCTGTGAAGGGGGTCACTTTCCCTCCCACACAACAATGCTGCTTCTAACACCATGTGGAGGAGCTGGCTTCCTGCCTGGAGGGAACCCACAGGCCATGACACAGGAGGGTGACAGAGCTCAGAGTTAGAACCACAGGCTGGTCGGGCAGGTTCTGCGGAGGGGGCTGCTCCTCAGAGCTGCAGAAATCTGCGTGGGGGATCCCACCTGGTTGCAACCTCATCTGTGCAAGTGAGGCAGTGTAGGGACCCTCTCTCCAGGGGCCTCCGGGACCTCCAAGCATGGAAATCAAAGAAAATCTTGAGTTCCTTCAAGGGACATTCCAGGTACCTAGCTAACCCAGAAAAGTAAATCAGCAAATTGATAAGTAAGAAGGTAACAGTATCCTAAAACAATAGCCAAGGAAGCCGGAGTCAGATGTTTCTAGGGACAGAAAGTAAAGACAACATCCCAGCACTCTGGGAGGCCGAGACGGGCGGATCATTTGAGGTCAGGGGTTCGAGACCAGCCTGGCCAAAATGATGAGACCTTGTCTCTACTAAAAATACAAAAATTAGCTGGGTGAGGTGGTGCAGGCCTGTAGTCCCAGCTACTTGGGAGGCCGAGGCAGGAAAAGCGCTTGAACATAGTAGGCAGAGGTTGCAGTGAGCCAAGATCACGCCACTGCACTCCAGCCTGGACGACAAAGTGAGATTCTGTCCCCCGCCAAAAAAAGTAAGTAAAGATAACGTCTGAATGCATATCCCTGAGTTATCTTTCAGAAACCTGGACCCTCCACCTAGGACCCCCACCAAACCAATCTGCTGGCATGCAGGCCTCAGATAAGGAGAAACTGAAGACTGAACCCTGACCCCATTCTTTGTTCTGAATTTCTTCCTGAGGGGCCTGGAGGGAGCCACACTCACAAGTCTAAGCTAACATTCTTTCCTTGTCACCCCAAATTTTTAAACAAAGCTTCTCCTTCTTAACCGACTGCAAATCAGCAAACCTTTGAATCCACCTATAACCCGTAAGGCCCTGCCTGGAGACATGCCACCTTATGGGCCAAACCTACGCATAACCTCCGTGTACTGACGCACAATTCTGCCTTTCGGTTCTGCTTTCTGGAGCTCTACCCCGCTTTAAAAACCTCGCCCGTAGCCAGTGGGGGAGGCCAGGATTTACACACGAGCTTCCTGGCCCTCCTTGCTTGGCGCTCTGCAAATACAAGTTTTCTTTTCTACCACGACAAACCTCAGCGTGGGGGCCTGGGTTTACTACACCAGGCAAGTGGACCCAGTTCCTGTGTCACAAGCACAGATGAAACTGTGAAGTCAACAGACTGACTACTCCTGGGAGCCATGAGCCAAACGTCCTCAGAGCTTGGGCAGGACAGAGGCTCATCTGAACTCCACCCACAGCAGAAACTGCGCGGAAGAGTTGGGGCCAAGAGCTCCCAGGAGGGACGCTCCTTAGCAAGGCCACGCCAACCCTAGAATAAGGCTGCCCCGGACCCGCCCCAGATAAGCCTGCTAAGATCAGGTGATCCACAGGTAACAAGTGCCAAAATGATACTCTCTGAAAGAGAGCAGAACCCTGATCAGTCTTGCCCAGCAGACATGAAGTGAGCACACATCTCATTCTAAATGTTTTCTTTGTTGTTTTTTTTTTTTTTTTGAGACAGGGCCTTGCACTATTGCCTAGGCTGGAGTGCAGGGTGCAACCCCAGCTCACTGCAGCCTCAACCTCCCAGCCTCCAGTGATCTTCCCACCTCAGGCTCCCGAGGAGCTGGGATGACAGGTGCATGCCACTGTACCCAGCTCTTCAATTCTAGCTGCCGCAATAAAATTACTCTTCACATTCCGCCAGGCGCATGCACAACACCCCAGGCTCCAAGTGCAGTGAAGCAGCAAACAGAAACAAGACAGGAAACGGTAGAGGCGACAGAGTCAGTGCCTGAGGACTCTGAAGGCAGCTGCAGTAAGTACGACAAACATGGCTTGAGGATTTAAGGGAAAACATAAACTAATATGAGGGAAGAGAAGATGCACAGAAGCAAATGGAGCCCCAGCGACGAGCAGCACGGGGCAGGGCCACCAGTGAAAACTGTACTGGGACAATAGGTTCAGGTGTGCCCCCAGGGAACAGGTCAGTGAACTGAAAGCCACAGCATCAGAAACTAAACTAGTCCGCACCTGCCATGTGCAGCACAAAGCGTCAGAGCCACGTGAGATAAAACCAGCCGTCGTCAGCCGCCACAGTCCAGCAGGAAGAGGAAGAGGCAAGGGCGGAAAATGGCATTTGAGTAATGGCTTAAAACCTTCCAAATATGATGGAAACCACAGACAAACAGATCCAAGAAACAACAAATGCTAAGCACAACAGACACAAAGAAAAGCCCACCAAGGCACCTGAAAAATACAATGCTGAAAATCACTGATAAATAAAGTTCAAAACTTGCCAGAGCACCGGCCAGCAGCCCAGCCTGCCAAGCGTCCGGGGGTGACCGCCCCAGCCCAGCCTGCCAAGCGCCCGGGGGTGACCGCCCCAGCCCAGCCTGCCAAGCGCCGGGGGTGACCGCCCGAGGCCCTGCGAGCCGCACACTGCCGGCAGCATCTTCTTCTTCCTTTCCGTTAAACAACCTTTTACAGATGTAAAAGGCATTCTTGGCTTGTGGTCTGTACAAGAGCAGACTGCAGGGCAGATCTGGCCTATGGGCTGCAGTTTGCCAAAAAGACACGTCACATGTGGAAACCAGAGATGAAAATGACTTGACACTGTTTTATAGAAACGATGCAAGTCAAACTTATTTTACAGTAGAGGAAAAAAGGTCATCTCAAATTCCATACCCAGGGAAAGTGAATTTCAAAAATGAAGATGAAATAAAGACTTTTAGACAGACAAATGCTGAGAGCTCACTGTCAGTAGATCTGTACTACAGGAACTATCTTTAAAATGCTTCGGGATGAAGGAACGTGTTAGCAGATGAAAGGCGTCTGGGAAGAGTTATGACGTACGGCGGGACGGGGAGCACAGGGATGGTCTCTGAAGGACGCTGCTGTGCAGAGCAGCACACAGATGCTGACGAGCAGCCGGCAGCAGAGTCCCTGTGACAGCTTCTCGTCCCCGAGAGCCTGGTCAGGCTGCAGGCTCTTCCCATCAGGACCACCCCAAGGGCACTTACCCACCCGGCGCAAGCGCAGCCCACCTGCTTCAGCTGGAAGAGCGTCCTGGAGTGGTCTCCACCTGTGATCTGGTCTAGGAGGTCGTCCACCACTTTCTTGCTGTAGCTTCCAGCATCCTTCACAAACTCCTGCAGGCTGGAGGGGCCACGGGAGAAGGCGTACTGAAAGGCATGCTGTGTGCTCCATGCCAAGCATGTGTTGCCTGGTCCTCCCAGCGGCCCTGATCACCACTGGCTGTGCCAGCCCAGCTCCTCAGACGGTCCCATGATGCTCCCAGAGTGGGTATTTCTAGTGGAGTGACTGACAGTGTCCATGAGATTTTCAAAGTGGTCCATGACCCAAAAAGGTTGAAAAGATCTCTGGGTGGGAGGGAAGAACACTATGAATGCGCATGCGCACAGCCTAGGAACACACGAGCTACGGTGCCATCATCTGTAACAAGGCAGCCCGATCTTCTATGTGTTTAGAAACATAAGTGGGTGTGGATGGAAGCACAGTGGTGGGCAGCGCCTGCTGGCGAGGAAGAGGTGGAAGGGGCAGGGGCAGGGCAAGACTTCCAGGGTGCTCCTTTGGGTATCACCCTGATTCTTGGCCATATAAATGAAATAGCTTAAAAAACTAAAATATAATACAATTTAAAAAATAGGCCAGGAACAAAAATGCATAGTCTTAGAATCAAAGCACCAAGCAAGGGCCTCAGAAAAGCTCCTCAGAAGCTCAACCACGGTCCCAGGAGGCACTGAGGAGACTCCACGTCTTGGTTAAAATGCCCACAGCCTGGAAGAGGCCAAGTTCTGCAGTTACAGTGTGCACAGAAAAGCACTCAGGGGCAGAGGATCTGGGTGCCTGTGCGCCGAGGCTGGTGTGGGACCACACAGGCCCATGCCAGGCCCCAGGAGACATGCAAACATGTGGGCCCAAGAGATGTGTTACCACACGGGCCCACACCAGGCCCCAGCAGATGTGCTACCACACGGGCCCATGCCAGGCCCTAGAGATGTGCTACCACATAGGCCCACGCCAGGCCCCAGGGGACATGCAATGTGCTACCACGTGGGCCCACGCCAGGCCCCAGGGATGTGCTGCCACGTGGGCCCGCGCCAGGCCCCAGGGGACATGCAATGTGCTACCACATGGGCCCACGCCAGGCCCCAGGGATGTGCTACCACGCAGGCCCACGCCAGGCCCTAAGGGATGTGCTACCACATGGGCCCACGCCAGGCCCTAGGGGATGTGCTACCACACGGCCCACGCCAGGCCCCAGGGATGTGCTACCATGCAGACCCACGCCAGGCCCTAGAAGACATGCTTCTTAGTGTTGTCCCCGCTGCTGCGAGGTAGGCGGGGTCAGTAAGATCTTTGCTTCATGGCAACATGGAACCTTACGCATTCTAGGAGCTGACAGTTGGGGGAGGCAGGGGATACACACAGTCCGCTGATGACAGCCACATGGACAACGGGTGACTGATGTCCTGGAGGAGCCACGAATCGTGGACAGGTGGTGCCAGGGTAGCTGTGGCCTTGGCCCATGCTGGCCAGAGGCCCCACAGCAGGGGTGAGGTGGGGGCTGGCAAGCGGGGGTGACCAACTCTTTAATTTCCGAGTTATGACTCTATCATCTCCTACCAAAATTTCCTCTTCATTTTCCACATTTATTTCCTTTTTTACCACAAAAATCGGGGTCAGGTATTCACTCATTTTATTAAGCACTAACTGAATTCTTGTTTATTTTTCAAATATATTCTGCATTCTTGTTGGAATAAAATGAAGACCTGACATCTCAAGATTGCATTTCTTAGAGGCTAGCAAAATTAACTTACTTTCCCCATAAAACACTGCTAAAATTTTATAGGAGTGACCCACTTTTCTTTTGCCACAGAAACCAAGAAACACGCAACAAAGTTCCATGGAAAGGCAGACCACTCCATTTGTGATTTCAGGATTATACTTTAGCCTGCCATGGCCTGAACTATGTCTCCCGCTCGAAGTTCCTAAGCTGAAATTCTGACCCCAGTGCCTCTGAATGTGACTGCACTTGGAGCTAGAGCCTTTACAAGTAGCTGCAGTGACCTGAGGTCATTTCGGGTGGCCCTGATCCAATATGATCAGTGTCCTTGTAGAACGGTCAGTTCTCCAAGAGAGGTGGGGACACAGACACGCATAGGACGAGCCCGGGAAGGCACAGCGGTTGGCACCTGCAGGCCCAGGAGCGAGGGCTGGGGAGGAACCAGCTCTGCACACACCTTCACCACAGACGCCAGCCTCCAGGACTAGGACCCCGGTCTGTGTCGCTTTGTCATGGCAGCGTGGGCTAGTATGGCCACTTAAGAAACACAATTCAATACGATGCAGTGGGCTGAACACGCCCCCACCCCTTCACAAGCTTCACCTGATCACGGCTTTCCTGCAACTCTGAGTTACCCAAATTTCAGGACTGGCCTGTGGCAGACCAGGGTGAAGACTGAAAGCAGCAGGAAGACCCGTCTGCCACCTGGACGGCTGCAGGTGGCACACACGCGGGGCCCCACGCTCCGGGCCCCACACCAGGACGCGGCTCACACTGCACAGCAGGCGCAGGCTCCCCGGGGCCAACACTGACCTCAGCGCACACTGCACGCCTGTCTCATCTCCGTAGGCTGAGTACAGCAGCTCCATCTCGTCCGACTTCAAGTCGCCAAACACTGAATTGTTCTGCATTGAAAGTGCAGTCGTGGCACTGGAGAGAAACGTAACTGGGAAGAAGAGGAGAAAGAGCATCACTGGGCTCGCTGAAGGACTTGGAGCGCAGGCCCCACCACGTCTCCAGCTGAGGACCGCCTGGCTGGCAGCCACCACCGCAGTCCCACCACTCTTGCTCTCCACAAATTTCTCGCTCCCGTGTCTAAGTTTTCCATGTGTAATCAGCAGGCGTGTAATTCACCACCCCTTGTTTTACTGTTGCAGGCCAAAGACTGCAGAGAAATGAGCTTTCTGCAAAGGGGTGAGCTCTACAAGCAAAAGAGCTTCGCGGGGACTCGGGCAGAGAGCACTGTCCAGCAGCGCCCAGCATCCCAACCCACGCGCACTGCAGTGCCCAAGCCACCCAGGGCCAGCTCTCGCTCCAGGGACACAAGAGTCAATCAGACAGTCCGTGCTAGCACAGGGCTTCTCGACCTCCACAAGACGACACCATGGGCCAGGTGTGCCACGCGGTGTCCCACAGGGCGTGGAGCAGCACCCCCGGCCTCTCCTCACCGGATGCCAACAGCACCCCCACCCCAATGGGACCATCAACACATCTGGACATTGCCAAACGTCCCCAGGGACAGAACTGTTGTGGCTGAGAACTGTGTTAGAGAGTGACAACAAGGCGTCTGTCAACACGAGAAAACTATCAACAGCCATGACAGGCCCAAGAGAAAGAGAGACGTGGGGCTGACGAAGGCAAGAGGACCCTTCCCTGTGGAAGGCGTCCTTCAACAGGAGACCCTGACCAGGCAGCTTTCCAACCCCTGGAGCTGGAGGAAAGCACATTCCAGAAAGAAGGGTGCTCTCGAGCCAAGGCCATGGTTTGGAGGGAGAGTGAGCTGTCCTATTAGCAGATGGTGTGAGTGGCTGAGGCAGAGGCGGGAGCAGTGACCCTGCAGATGTCTGCATGGGAGGGACCCAGCAGAGGTGGAGAAGCGGAAGGCGGGGCCGTGCAGGAGGTCCCAGCAGCAGCGCAGCCAGGGGGCAGCAGTGCAGACGGACAGAGCAACACACAGGCCGGCCAGAGCCAGGGACCAGAGGCCACAGAGACTCCCAAAAGGATGTTTTATAAACGCGACAGGGACACAAACACAAGGACAGCAAAACACTGACCAAGGTGAAGTCCAGTGACAGCAACCAAGGTGCTCACTGTGCGTTTCACAGCAAACTCATCCAACACAAGCTTTACTCCCGTCACTGTGACTGATCTCAGTCTCATCCACGTGAAAATACGAATCCAGATAGAGGCACAAACGCACACAAGGAAACCCTGAAGCAGGAATCGGCAGCATTTGCCTTCCCGCCACTAAACCCCTCCCACCTTCCCCGGCCAGCCAGCTCCTGGGATGGGACCATGCATTTACCTTTGTTTCTTCTTTCGTCTTTGAAGCCCAGCGTGGTGAAGCCTGGGAGCAGCTTACTGGACAGCGAGCTCAAGTCCACTGGGTGGGTCTCCTCCTCTGCAACATGGACAGGGCAGACATGAGCAGCAGCATGACCCGTGCATCCCAGTGCAGCGCTAGGAGTCCCAGTGCAGCGCTGTGAGCAGAAGGCATGACCCCACACGCGCCCCATGCAGCACCGGGAGCCCCAGTGCAGCATTGTGAGCAGAAGGCATGACCCCACACGCGCCCCATGCAGCACCGGGAGCCCCAGTGCAGCGCTGTGAGCAGAAGGCATGACCCCACACGCGCCCCATGCAGCGCCGGGAGCCCTTTCTCGGTATCACAGTGGATCTGACTGTGGGGGGTGGGGGATTTTATACTGATCTCCTGAAAATGAATCTGCAACACCAACCACCATTCTCAAAACTAACTGCACTGCAATTTCACTTATCACCCCAAAATCAACACAATAAAAAATACCACATCTTTGGCCACCACACCAGCAATACTGTGAACGTTCTCAAACGGATCACTCAACACCTCCAAGAAGAAATCTGGTCCTCCGTGCTCTGACAGTGAAGCCGTGGCTCGTGCACCCGGAATGCATGAATCTGACAGGCATCCCCTGTGCTGAATCACCATCCACATGCCACTCACGGGGTCAGAGCAGGAGTTCCTCGGGTCCCAACCGGCACCTCAGTCTCGATACTCCTTCTTAAGCTAAATATGGACCAGCAGTCTGCCCCTTTAAGGAAAATCAGCCGAGGACTAAATAGGTCCGCTAGCTTACATTCTTCACACACTGGGGAAACCAGGCCGGCACGCTGCAGCTGGGTGAAAGACCACGTTAGCTTCACCCGCTGGCAGGCATGCAGTGGGAGCGAGGAAAGTGGAAGATGGAAAGGCAGCTCTTGCCAGACAGCATGGTCCCATGTGCCTGCGAGTGTGCTTCAAAGCCGAGCGAGTCACACTTTTATTCCAAGGACGAGCCTCTTAGTGACTCCCAGGCCATGAAGGCGCCCACGACAGGCCGGACAGGCCTAGGGTGCCGGCCGCCTTCACCATCTTCCTTGACGTGATCACCAAACAAGCCTTTTCTTCTAAGGCCACTTTCCAGGCTCAAGGAGCAGGGTGGGTCCGCACTCTGGTATTTGCTGAAGACTGAACTTGGGAGCCATTCCCGATGCTAGGGAGGTTCAGCCTTAAGGGCTTTCGGCTGCTTTTCAGGAACGTGCCCAAGTCCCGCTGCTCCCAAGGAGCCCTGAGGAGAGGGTCCACCTGGCACCCCCGCCCATGGCACAGCCTCCTCCGCCTCCCCTCAGCACGCGTGTCACACCAGAGCATGCAGGGACAGGAAGCTGCGCAGCCTCTCGTGCTTCCTCCAGCCAATGGCTCGGGCTCTAAACAGACAACACGCTCTTTTCATCACAGAACATGAATGGAGACCCGAAAAGCAGCGTACAGAGAGCAGAAAGCCAGCCGCGAGCGGGCACCCACCATCAGCATCCGGTTCGGCCGTGTTGACCACGCTGTAGAGCAGGCTGCCATCCCCGTTCCTCTTCAGATAGCCCATCTGGAAGGAAGCACGGCCTGAGCGTCTGTCCCCGCCGAGGGGCAGCGCAGCACAAACGAAATGAAGGCCAACGAGGAGGACTTCATGGGGGTAAAACCAACTTTGTCCAAGAACAAATGCCAGAGGCCCCCGCATGGCACCGCCAGGAATGTAAGACTCCCTGGCAACAGCAGAGTGCACCCTGGTGTCACAAGAACCTCTTAGGCTCCCTGTGGCCCTGCTGAAAGGGGCACCACTGAAACACAAACCTTTACCCAGAACAAACATTTAAAATTGCTTGTGAGCCTGAAGAAAATGTAAAGGTCAGGTTAGCATGGCACCATCCTGACAGCGGGCAGCTCTAGCTCTCAGGCATGTGTGAACTGGTTCCCATTTAAAAACCCACCATCGGGAGGACCCAGGATGAGGAGGCAGTGGTGTGTGCAGTGTAGGGGTCAGGGGGAGGAGGGCTGCCGTGCGGGCATGGCTGGGCTCCAGTGCAGGGGTGATATCCACACTGCGGTCAGAGCAGCCACCCAGCCCGAGGGGAGGAGCAGCACGTTTGTGTGGGGGCAGCCCCCCAACCCATGCAAAGTATCAGAGCCCAGACAGGATGGCCAGGGCATTGGGGTAAAGGCAGAAGATCAGGTACAATGGGGCACGGATTTGATACACAGATTAAGGGCAAGTGAGTCAGGTCCTCACGGTGCAGGTACAAAACCGAAAGGGAAGTAGTGGGGTGGACCCACGGTGCAGATGGAACTGGAAGTTTCTCTGTAAAAACACGGTTTTCAACACAGTAAACACAGGTGTCAACTGATTCTTTCTACACATAGTGTCCATGTATGTGGTGCAGAACACACACAGGCATCTCCCAGGTCTATATGCTGAGAGGGCTTCCCAATGCCTGGGTCTTGGCTTCTAAACAAGGTTCTCTAATAAAGAAACCAGGGCTCCTTGGAGAATGTGACAATTCCAAGGATGAGGCACAGTGTGCAGAGCAAGGCCATCCAACAGAACTACAGTGCAAGCCACGCAGACCACAATTTCCCCAACACACAAGCCGTGCAGACCATACCTTCCCAACACGCAGGCCACGCAGACAACTTCCCAACACGCAGGCCACGCAGACAACTTCCCAACACACAGGCCACGCAGACAACTTCCCAACACGCAGGCCACGCAGACAACTTCCCAACACGCAGGCCACGCAGAACACACCCTCCCAACACACAAGCCATGCAACTTCCCAACACACAACCCACACAGACCACACTCTTCCAACACACAAGCCACGCTGACCACAACCCCCAACACACAAGCCACACAGACCACAACTTCCCAACACACAAGCCACAGACCACAACTTCCCAACATGCAAGTCATGCAGACCACAATTTCCCCAACACACAAGCCACGCAGACCACAATTTCCCCAACACAAGCCATGCAGACCAATTTCCTCAACACACAAGCAACACAGACCACACCCTCCCAACATGCAAGCCACATAAACTCCCAAAACACAAGTCATGAGTACCACACCCTTCCAACACACAAGCCATGCAGACCACACCCTGCCAACATGCAAGGCACACAGACTACGACTTCCCAGCATGCAAGCCACACAGACCACATCCCCCTAGCACACAAGACATTCAGACCACACCCTCCAACACACAAGCCACAAGGACCACACCCTCCCAACACATAAGCCACATAGACCACAACACCCCAATATGCAAGCCAGGCAGTCCACACCCATCCAACACACAAGCTACGCAGACCACAACCTCCCAACACATGCCACACAGACCACGCCCTCCAACACACAAGCCACGCAGACCATACTCTCCCAACACACAAGCCAGAGACTACACCCTCCCAACACACAAGCCACACAAACAACACCCTCCCAACACACAAGCCACAGAGACCACAACTTCCCAACATGTAAGTCACATAGACCACAATTTCCCAACACACAAGCCACACAGACCACAACCATCCAACACAAAAGCCATGCAGACTACACCCTCCCAACACACAAGCCATGCAGACCACAACCTCCCAACATACAAGCCATGCAGACCACAACTTCCAGGCATGCAAGCCACACAGCCCACACCCTCTAACACGCAAGCCACACACCACACCCTCTAACACACAAGCCATACAGACCACAACTCTCCAACCACATAAGCCACGCAGACCACAACTCCCCAACACACAAGCCACACAGACCAGAACTTCCCAACACACAAACCACGCAGACCACAACTTCCCAACACGCAAGTCACGCAGACCACAACTTCCCAACACGCAAGCCACAGAGACCACCACAACTTCCCAGCAGGTGGAGGCAAACAGAAGCAGACGCATCTGAAATGCCACTTCAGTGTTTTCTACATCTCATCCTACGTGCATTTTGAAAACTGTGAAAAAAAATGTAAAGTTCAAATTAACATTTTCTACAGACTACATGTTGAGATGAAATGTTGGACCCAGAAGTAACTAAAACCTGCTAGAATTAATGTCACCTGCATCACTCCACTTCTGTTACCAGGGCTACTAGGAAGTCTGAGGCTGCAGACAGCCTGTGCTGTTTCCATTGCATGCACTGGGTCTAAAACATTGGCCAGAAAGGAGAGCGCAGTCAGCTGAGTGGGCCTCACCACCACACAGGCCATCTGTGGCAGCCACGTGAACACAGGAGGTGGTCTATCGTGGACCATCTGTCGGGTCCAACTCCAGCCCCCGCTGGAATAACAAAGGCGGTGCCTCGGTCAACACTCAGTTACAGAAACACGGAAGTCAACACTCGCTCCAAGGGAAGGGGTTACCCTGTAGCAGGGCGTGCATCCGGGAAACGGGCCAGTGACCACCTGGCCTCCACTGTGCGAGATGCATGCGTGCGACGGCCCTGCCAGAAACACCCGGCCCCTGAGTGAGGGACCATGAGCCTTCTGCGTGTCTGACCTGGATCCCCCGTCAGGGCCCCACAGTGACCTCCTGATGCCAGTGGCTGTGCTAGATCACACGGCACTGTCCCCGACGAGATGCCACAGAGTGTCTGGGGCTGAGTGGCACCCTCTTGCCGGGGCCACGGAGCACTACCTTGCCGCCTGGGAGGAAGCGGTTGATCCTGTCCCGAGCCTCGTCAGCCGCGTGCTCCACCAGCGCCAGCACGTGCTCCTCTGCAGTGCTGTCTGTCAGGCTGCAGGCGTTCCCTTCCGGCTCAAACATACAGCTGTGAGGGGGGAACAACCAAGTCACCTGGAGGCAGCGTCCCCATTGCACACCTGCTCCCCACACGCCAGCACCTAACCTAGCCTCTACCCACTCTGCCCTCGGACACAGGGCAGGCAGAGTCCCCACCGCACACCTGCTCCCCACACGCCAGCACCTAACCCAGCCTCTACCCA